CCCCCCTTCCACCTCATAACATGTACTGCCAGCACACACTGAACCACAAGTAATGTGCCCCAGCAGAAGCACCACCTCCATCACATGCACCACCAACCCAACCAGCCCACTTCTTCCAGTCTCAGGCCGCAAAAAAGGGTAAGGAACCCCGTCTACAGTCAAGGCTCCAGGTGGTGCAGCATCGTGAACAACGGTAAGCGTACGCGAGAATCAGCACCCCCAACTTAAAGTCAGCCAAAAGAACTTATGATGACTGTCTACAGCTGTCATGACAGGTCCTCTTCACACAGCACAAAACATTGCCGGCTAAGGCAATGCAAGTAGTGGGTCGGCTCTAGGGAGGAGTTATGCAAATATTGAACTGACGATGGGTGGGTGTCAGTCTGGAGAAGTGAGCGTTTCCAGACGGGCTGCATTTGCATGGAGACTGCCCTAGGCAATGCCCACATGCGACACTGATCCTCCATGAAAGGGGCGGAGCCAGGGACAGTCAGGCTGGGGAGGAAAAAGCTAGATGATGCTGGACATCTTCTAGCCAGGAAAGGAGGCGGAGCTCTATCTGAATTGGTTGCTATGGATTATTGCACTTTCCATACTGTCAATGGCCTTCATACTAAGCATACAAGTCTGTTCCTGTTCTCTGGCTTTCAATAAAGTTATAAAAGTGAGAACTGCAGAGCAAGCACTGCTACATGAACAACGAGAACCATTTCAGTTGTGGTAAAGGTGCCGACGATGGGATACGAGATGATAGGAGCTCTCAATAAAGTGCCTCATTCCCCTTCCCACTGGACCATCTCCTGTGAATAAGGCCCACCATTCGCTTTAAGTGCATCTCCAGCCATCTCTTGGTGGTGAAGGGTGACTGCCTCTGTTGTCACCGGCCCAGGAATAGACACCGGAGAGCCAACTGTCTAAGAGGGATTTACTTCTTTATGCGTTTCTGGGAACGGCAGATACCTCCCAATGGGCCACCAACACAATGGGCCAGATGAAACCCGATTGGTGGTTGTTGAGGAATGCGAATGGTCACGCGTCTTATTTTGGTAGCTCACATGTCAAACTGATAGGTCTCTGTATAGTTATGATGGTGACCTACTGGCCACCCATCACCTACTGCCTCCATACTGGCCACCCATCACCTACTTCCTCCATACTGGCCACCCATCACCTACTGCCTCCATACTGGCCACCCATCACCTACTGCCTCCATACTGGCTACACATCACCTACTGCCTCCATACTGGCTACCCATCACCTACTTCCTCCATACTGGCCACCCATCAGCTACTGCCTCCATACTGGGCACCCATCACCTACTGCTCACATGTCAAACTGATAGGTCTCTGTATAGTTTAGCTGGTGCATAGTAGAGGGTGTAACGGCCTTGTGCCATCATCCTCTTGGCACACATCTATCCTCCACCTAGAAAGATAATTGAACATTTAGCTCCGGCATGCATTCGCTCCTCGTCTTCAGTATGCCATAGCTGGGCCGGCAGAAAAAAAAGGGCTCGTCTCCCATAATGTACCAGGAGTCTTCTCCACCGAGGAAGGAGAGAAGAGGGCAGGCACGGCCGATAACAATTCACATTATTTTTCTGCTCCCTCATTGGGAGGACATTGGATCTTTCCCCTTAGCCCGCACAGAGCTCCCCACAACTGAAAGGGTTAACATTGCTTCAATCTTCTAGCTCACCTTTGTTTATCCTTGTTGATTAAAGTCACCTTCCAAGGAGGCCTATAAATAAATAAAGTCAGGTATTACTGGCATACATTTCCACAGATATCTGGTGGCCTCTGAAGTGTCACAGACTTGGCTTATTCCAACAAAGCATAAGATAAAAAAAAAAAAATCCATACTGGCCGCCCATCACCTACTGCCTCCACACTGGCCACCCATCACCTACTGCCTCCGCACTGGCCGCCCATCACCTACTGCCTCCACACTGGCCGCCCATCACCTACTGCCTCCACACTGGCCGCCCATCACCTACTGCCTCCACACTGGCCGCCCATCACCTACTGCCTCAACCTCTATACTGGTCGCCCATCACCTACGGCCTCCATACTGGCCACCCATCACCTACTGCCTCCATACTGGGCACCCATCACCTACTGCCTCCATACTGGGCACCCATCACCTACTGCCTCCATACTGGGCACCCATCACCTACTGCCTCCATACTGGGCACCCATCACCTACTGCCTCCATACTGGGCACCCATCACCTACTGCCTCCATACTGGGCACCCATCACCTACTGCCTCCATACTGGGCACCCATCACCTACTGCCTCCATACTGGGCACCCATCACCTACTGCCTCCATACTGGGCACCCATCACCTACTGCCTCCATACTGGGCACCCATCACCTACTGCCTCCATACTGGGCACCCATCACCTACTGCCTCCATACTGGGCACCCATCACCTACTGCCTCCATACTGGGCACCCATCACCTACTGCCTCCATACTGGGCACCCATCACCTACTGCCTCCATACTGGGCACCCATCACCTACTGCCTCCATACTGGGCACCCATCACCTACTGCCTCCATACTGGGCACCCATCACCTACTGCCTCCATACTGGGCACCCATCACCTACTGCCTCCATACTGGGCACCCATCACCTACTGCCTCCATACTGGGCACCCATCACCTACTGCCTCCATACTGGGCACCCATCACCTACTGCCTCCATACTGGGCACCCATCACCTACTGCCTCCATACTGGGCACCCATCACCTACTGCCTCCATACTGGGCACCCATCACCTACTGCCTCCATACTGGGCACCCATCACCTACTGCCTCCATACTGGGCACCCATCACCTACTGCCTCCATACTGGGCACCCATCACCTACTGCCTCCATACTGGCCACCCATCACCTACTACCTCTATACTGGTCGCCCATCACCTACGGCCTCCATGCTGGCCGCCCATCACCTACTGCCACAGAGCAAATACTCACCGTTTCCATGCGTCACTCCCTCACTGTCCAGATAGGGAAATCAAAGCTCCCTTGCTGATGGAAGCGCTGCACATTGTCACTCATCAGCGGTGGCTCATGTAACTGGACAGCCGGGGATTGACATATGTAACCATGCGAATGTTTACCCCGCTCTGCATGGGAATCCTGTCACTGGTAAGTTGAGAATTCTGTCCTAGGGTGACCACGCACATTTACTTTTTTATTAAAGCAGGAGAAGCGTTGTCCCCCATGGATGCCCCCCCAACGATTCAGACTACTGGCTGGCAAGTCCATAAACTAAACCCCATCAGAAGGTGTTCCATGTCATTACTAGGGGAAGCATGCCAGCAGGTAAGGCGCTCGTACATATGCAGGAAGCCAGTGAGCAGATTTAAAGGAAGGAAAAAAGGAAAATATAACAAAACACAGAAAAGAGCAGCTTCGTATTCTTATAATATGAAAACACCGGACAGGAAGTGTGAGCTTGAGGTTTAATTATACTTTAATAACTCCGGACCCCCTAGCTGGGTCTTGCTATACACAGGAGGACAGGCGGAAACGCTTACTTGGGAATGAAAATGGTGTGCCTTAAAAAGTTCTCAAACTTCTTCTGAAAGGATTCCTCATCCAGGTCTAGCAGCTGGCCGCCATTTTTCTGACACGGGCAGCACTTATCCTCCGAATCCATGTTGTCTTCATAGTCGCTGTCAAACCTGGTATCGGCGCTGCTGGTTGGAAGCTTCAGACCTGTGTAAAAGTAGAGGAACCCACCTTAGAAGAACATCAAATTGTACATTGGAGCTCACCAGCATTCCTTTGATGTGTCATCTATGGGTGAGGCAATGTAGAGAGCCAACCATGAGAACAACGGACTATATATGGTTGTATTTGCCAGCTTAGGTTGGCCTATCATTCAGTCAATAATCAGTCCAGATAGGAAATATTACAATGGCTCCAATGGGGATTATGTTCCCATGTAGTGACCAACACTAGGTGGGTCCTGGGCACACAGAATGCTCAGCTCCATACCATATATGGTGGTACTTTGGTCCACCTCCAAATGCTATTACCCATTTACCCCAGTCAAGCCGATGGCTAGGCCCGGATTCCCCACAAGGCCAGGCCTCGGGGCGCAGAGGGGCGGCAGCGGTGTGGAATCCTCCAACGGGCGGTAAGTTGCCTTCTACAATTAGTCCTGCTTTGAGATGGCGGGACTAAATGTAGTGCGGGGAAGCCGCTGTTGTTCATTTACAGGTGATCGCGGCGATGTGTGCAGCCTGTCCATCCTACCCTCCCCCCCAACCTACCTCTCTCCTCTGGTTCTGTCCTCCCCCCGCACCTACCTCTCTCCTCTGGCTCCGACCTTCCACCGGCCACCGAGTCTCTCCTCTGGTTCCGACCTCCCCCCTGCCACCGAGTCTCTCCTCACTGGCCGCCGATGCGGGGAGCAGAGCGGCAGGGTTAAAACTAACCCCGCCGCTCCGTGTACACAGTGAGAGGGAAAAAAACGAACCCTGCCACCCTCCGTTGATGGGTGGCGGGGTGGGGGGTGCATTGCGGAACCTGGCTTTGGGGAGTAAATCCGGCCCTGCCGATGGTTTTTGGAAAAAGATAGGTACTGCCACTAGGTTAGTTCCTGCCCCCGGGCCTCATTTCTGCCCCCGGCCTCATTTCTGCCCCCGGGCCTCATTTCTGCCTATTCAGAGGTGCAAGGAGCAGTTGGAGAGCCGCCCAAGATCCGATTCCTTCCCTGGAGCAGGATCGAGCCTGCACAGTACAGCTTTGGCAGCATTTGTTTCTCTTGCAGGCGAAGATTATTATTTTGGTAGCACACAAATCCTCTCTGCGTGTTACAATGTCCACACACGTCAGGGGCCAACATTAAAATCGGAATATTGTGTTTTGAGAATAACAGTCTCTGTACCCGTTGAACTCGAAAGGGACAACAGCCGCCATTGACTGTGTTCCTGGAACATCTATTCTTTAACATGTGGAAGACTTCCTATCCTACACGGAATGAATGCGACACCACGACTGGTGTGAGACAATTGTTGTGACCCCCCCCCCGGCAATAACGTCACTGCTGTTTAAACTTTAAACGTCACGTGTCTAATGTACGACTGTGGAAAATAGAATGCTAATTAAAGGTCAGGAAAGATGGGAAGTACGGGGGGAGGGGGGTTAGTTATGGAGGTTAAAATGGAGGCAGTAAGGGATCTCGGGAGATGGAGGCAGTAAGGGATCTCGGGAGATGGAGGCAGTAAGGGATCTCGGGAGATGGAGGCAGTAAGGGATCTCGGGAGATGGAGGCAGTAAGGGATCTCGGGAGATGGAGGCAGTAAGGGATCTCGGGAGATGGAGGCAGTAAGGGATCTCGGGAGATGGAGGCAGTAAGGGATCTCGGGAGATGGAGGCAGTAAGGGATCTCGGGAGATGGAGGCAGTAAGGGACCAAGGGCTCCCGGGGAAAATGGAGGTACTAAGGGCTCCCGGGGAAAATGGAGGTACTAAGGGCTCCCGGGGAAAATGGAGGTATTAAGGGCTCTCTGGGAAATGGAGGCAGTAAGGCATCTTGGGAGATGGAAGTAGTAAGGGCTCTCGGGGGATGGAAGTAGTAAGGGCTCTCGGGGGATGGAAGTAGTAAGGGCTCTCGGGGGATCTAGGTAGTAAGAGGGTCGAGTATCACTATTAACTGTTAAAGGAGTTAAAAGGGAAGACAAATATCAGGAAGACGGCACCAATGCTAAAACCAGGTGACAATTCCTGTATCACCTCCTCCCCGCATCTCAGTCTGGACTTCCAGACCCACCAAATTCTCCTTGACAGTTTTAGGTCTACATCACTAATACTACTTCTACTTTGTACACTTTAAAAAAGGCACGCCCGCCGCCCCCCCCACACACACACACACACACCAATTCAGGACACGGAAGAGATGGGAGGAAATCTTATGGAGAAAGTTAACAGTTTTAGGAGAGGTCCACTGAAACGGGCAGAAGATTGAACACCAATCAATTGGGGATTTAGTCATTCATAAAAACCTATAAAAATTATTTGCCATTCTCACCACTAGGACAGAACATCATCGTTACTTCAGAACAATTATTTACACACTGTTCTCTCCTGTTGGATTTTCACCAGCCCCTCCCCCAACATGGACAATCCCTCTAACCAACCTTTGGTGCAGTAGTCATTATGGTACAGCTCCTGATCTTCTTCTAACTGTTGCCAGAGGACCAGGTAGTAGCTGATATTTCCATTGCGTTGTGTCGGAGGTTTCCAGCGGACAATCAGGTGGGATGAGGAGTTGGACATGATCATAACGTCCTGGGGAACAGTTGGGGCTGCAGTAATAGGAATTGAGAAAAGCTAATATTATTAAGGCCATAAAAATGGAAAACAGACTTTCATCCCAACTTTATAGACACACATGAACACACACACGAAGCATAGAGCGAAATATCCTAAAAGAAACCTACAACAACCTACTGCTTGTTACTGATCGGACTTCAAGTATCTATGACTGGCTGCCTTGGGCTATATAAAATCATCATCATCATCATCGTGGCTAACTGAATAATGCCAATGGCGTGACACTGTTCGTGCTGCATCTCTGGAGACTTCCAAGTCTGAATCCGACTTCCAAATGGCCAAAATGTGTTCATGCTTCGATAATTAGTTGGGAGGAATATACCCTGTGGTCACAAAGCTTCAAAAAGGTATGCCTGCAGGTGTACAGACCCGGGAACTCAGCACAGGGATGGTGGGGGCCCCTCATAATGGGCACAGCGGGGGTACAGACCCGGGAACTCAGCACAGGGATGGGGGGAGCTCCTCATAATGGGCACAGCGGGGGTACAGACCCGGGAACTCAGCACAGGGATGGGGGGAGCTCCTCATAATGGGCACAGCGGGGGTACAGACCCGGGAACTCAGCACAGGGATGGGGGGAGCTCCTCATAATGGGCACAGCGGGGGTACAGACCCGGGAACTCAGCACAGGGATGGGGGGAGCTCCTCATAATGGGCACAGCGGGGGTACAGACCCGGGAACTCAGCACAGGGATGGGGGGAGCTCCTCATAATGGGCACAGCGGGGGTACAGACCCGGGAACTCAGCACAGGGATGGGGGGAGCTCCTCATAATGGGCACAGCGGGGGTACAGACCCGGGAACTCAGCACAGGGATGGGGGGAGCTCCTCATAATGGGCACAGCGGGGGTACAGACCCGGGAACTCAGCACAGGGATGGGGGGAGCTCCTCATAATGGGCACAGCGGGGGTACAGACCCGGGAACTCAGCACAGGGATGGTGGGGGCCCCTCATAATGGGCACAGCGGGTGTACTGACCCAGGAACTCAGCACGGGGATGGTGGGGGCCCCTCATAGCGGGCACAGGGATGGCGGGAGCGCCTCATAATGGGCACAGCAGGGGTACAGACCCGGGAACCCAGCACAGGGATGGTGGGGGCCCTTCAATGGGCACAGCGGGGGTACAGACCCGGGAACCCAGCACAGGGATGGTGGGGGCCCTTCAATGGGCACAGCGGGGGTACAGACCCGGGAACCCAGCACAGGGATGGTGGGGGCCCTTCAATGGGCACAGCGGGGGTACAGACCCGGGAACCCAGCACAGGGATGGTGGGGGCCCTTCAATGGGCACAGCGGGGGTACAGACCCGGGAACCCAGCACAGGGATGGTGGGGGCCCTTCAATGGGCACAGCGGGGGTACAGACCCGGGAACCCAGCACAGGGATGGTGGGGGCCCTTCAATGGGCACAGCGGGGGTACAGACCCGGGAACCCAGCACAGGGATGGTGGGGGCCCTTCAATGGGCACAGCGGGGGTACAGACCCGGGAACCCAGCACAGGGATGGTGGGGGCCCTTCAATGGGCACAGCGGGGGTACAGACCCGGGAACCCAGCACAGGGATGGTGGGGGCCCTTCAATGGGCACAGCGGGGGTACAGACCCGGGAACCCAGCACAGGGATGGTGGGGGCCCTTCAATGGGCACAGCGGGGGTACAGACCCGGGAACCCAGCACAGGGATGGTGGGGGCCCTTCAATGGGCACAGCGGGGGTACAGACCCGGGAACCCAGCACAGGGATGGTGGGGGCCCTTCAATGGGCACAGCGGGGGTACAGACCCGGGAACCCAGCACAGGGATGGTGGGGGCCCTTCAATGGGCACAGCGGGGGTACAGACCCGGGAACTCAGCACAGGGATGGTGGGAGCCCCTCAATGGGCACAGCGGGGGTACAGACTCGGGATTCTGCACCGAGATTTTATAAATAGAGTGCCGAAGAAACAGAAGAGATTTGGCGCTCCAGCATTGACCATAACATTTTTATTTCAATCACTTTTTAGATGGACTGCGCCTTTAACTTTTTGGCATCTCCTGAATACCGAGTCGTCAGGTTTTGTTCCTTTAAGGTAACGCTAGATGTCGAACGCAAACCCGGCCTCCTCCACAACATTTGATTGAAGCTCGGCGACTCCGTACGTACAGATATCAGTATCAGGGAGGACATTCTGTCATCACATGGAGAACATTTGATAATTTGAAATGGAGAACAGAGAGCGCTCGTTTACAAAGAAATGGCTCATTGTCGGCGTGTCCGGAGACCTTCTCTGCTAAATGATAGATTGGTGTATTTTCCGGTCACCTGTGCTCCCGGGAACGCTCTCTGCTGCTATTTTTAGCTCTTTTTTAGATCATTAGGCAGCCTTTTAAACCGTACAATAGCTTGCCCAATTTAACCCAAAAACCATTGTGATCACCCTAATGTCAATATTGTTATCACTGGGCCTAAACGGAACCGGTCACAACTGGTTTTTTCACCGTAATCTGAATAGTTAAATCCCTTTACTGGGCAAAATTAAATCACACATCACCAGAGCCGTTGCTAGCTCTTTTTGCGCCCGAGGCGAGAACAAAAAATTTTGCCCCCCCCAATAGATGTGTGCGGTATGTGACATCATGTGCCCCGCCTCCAGGATGGTGGCACGCATGCGCCTCTACCCATACAGGTGGGGGAGAGCAGCTGGGATCCGAGGAGCAGCTGGAGCTTGTGCCGCTCCTCTTCTCCCTGCCAAGCCACGGCTGTGTTGGCCACCTGGCACCCCTGTTGCATGCCATGGCAACAGGGGCAAGGGGGCGCAGCCAGGCCGGCCCTGGCTGTGCCCCCTCTCAGCTGCGCCTGAGGCGAGTGCCTCACTCGCCCCATGGTAGCTACAGCCCTGCACATCACCCGCACCACCTTCCCACCCTTAGTAATTGAGCCCACCGTCATGTGTCCCTCATTGGCGCCTCTTCCGGGGATGGAGACCGGTGATCCAGCTCCGCAGTCTGGGCCCACTGCCAGTCTTCATCACCACAATGCCATCTGGCCGTGTAGTCCTCGGAAACCTGAGCAGAACTCGCCGCTGGCCAGCAAATAGGAAGTGTCCATGTCACCCAAGGCAGCAATGTGGGCACCTGATGGGGGACCCTTTAACTCTGCTGTCTATTGGCTAGAGTGTGTGTGTGGTTGGGGGGGGGGGGTAATAGCTTTGAGGGTGCCTGGCCTCAGCTTTAATCTTAAATAATGCAAAAAGCGCAGGCTTTCCAATGACCTATTTATATTTGCCCCCTTCTTTAGCTTGCCTGAGAAGGATTCGCAGCCATGGGAACTGGTGATGAGGTCACCTGAAGCCTAATTGTTGCTGCTCTATGGACTCTGCCTGACAACCTCAGACTCCCAAGTGTGCAAGACAACATTATGTATAAGAACCGTGCCCAGCCATCAGGAATTGTGGGGCCCCTTACAAAGCTTTAGGCCTGACACTCCCTCCTCCTTTCAGCGTCAGTCAGTGTTTCTCACTCGCCCCCCCCGCATAGGACCCTCATATTAATAAGGAAAGGAAGCAGGAAGCAGCAGCTGTGCTCCACTCCAGCCTTGGTCTTCGGTGCTTCTGCCCAGGAATAAAAGCTCCGCCCCTGAACGTAATCAGGAAGGTACCAATAGCACAGGGGGGCCCGGAACCTAACTAATTCATCTGTTCATAATAATCTATAACAAAAACGCTTGCTTGGAGCCTGGGCCCCCCTAGCCGCCTGGGCCCCTTACACCAGTACTGGCTGTACCCCCCTGATGGCAGCCCTGCCTGTAGTCAAAAGGAATGTACACTACAGGGCTATGTGCTGGGCATTTTAGGGTTACTTAGGAGCCATAAAAGCAGAATGTAATAGGACAGGCGACAGACAGAGCAGCTACAGTAAGACCCCGCAGGACCCCCCTCTGTTACATATAAATCTTCCATAGCTCACATATGTAGAAATACATTACAGTTTGCTTCTAAGAGTCTGTTACCTGCCGGCCTGGTTCGGATGTAAACCACGTCACTCTGCGCTCCAAAGTTCGTCCCTTCCTCGGCAGTGGTGAGGGTGATGGATCGGACGTATATGGCGTACTGGGTCCACGGTTTCAGGTTCATCAGCGTGACACTCGGTTCCTGCTCATTGTTTAAAGGCAGCTCCACGTCTACCACGTTCCAGCTGTTGGCTCCACAGGCGTCATGGGCCAGGTGCTCGGTTATGTTCTGAAAGGGACTGAAAAAAAAAAAGCAGTGGTTTAGGTTTCCAAGGCAACTAAATCATACAACACGGTCATGACGGACTGCAGTCCAAGGAGATGCGACAGTAAAATGTAACCCCCCAATCTACTTGTGAAGGACAGAACTTTCCTCAACTGTGGCCTTCAAAAGCCTACAAGGAAAGGTGGGAATTAGCCTGAGGACGGTTTACAGTAAATATGGTCACTTTTGGGTTCCATCAAAGACCTGACCATCGGAAAACTCTCCTCGTAATTGAACTCCCACAAGCTGAATTGATCCAATACCACCAAAGAAGATCACATTCCCTTAATTATGGAAGAATCAGCTTTTAGGTCTCCTGACACCGATAAAGACTCCTCTATGTTTTCCTATGGTATAATCATCAATCAATCATCAACTGGGATTGGGGAGCAGAAGTGAGGAGGGATCTTTCCATAGGGAATAATTCATTTAATCCTTCCCTACTTTATCTCTGTAAGCTGCGGTGAGGATATTTATAACTACCGAAAAAGGTCAGGAGACAATAGGTCAGGAATGATGTATACATTACATGTTCAATGACCAGGACCTCCTACCATGGAGAACCTTCAGGAAATGTATACCGTCGGCTGGTGATGGTCTAGTACAGGGATCTCAAACCTCCGGCCCTCCAGCTGTGGGTGAAACTACAAATCCCATGATGCATCTCTTCGGGAGTCATGTCTGTGAGAATCTTGCAATGCCTCATGGGATATGTAGTTGCTCCACAGCTGGAGGGCCGGAGGTTTGAGACCCCTGGTACTAGTACATAATAATGGCTACTTATGAGCTCATGCAAAGAATATGTAGCCCCCGTGACCTTCTGTGATGTGGCTACTAGACGTTTAGAGATAGCCGGGGCTGTAGTCAGCCTGGCTGGAATGATAGTGGCAGTTATCTGGTTAATTCCTGGTGTCTAGCATTGCCTGTACCCCCTCCCCCCCTGGGTGGAGTGTGACTCTGTCATATTGTGGGACAGCCAATGAGTGGCACTGTAGTGTATGTACAATACAGCAGCCAATCACTGGGTTTCACTCAGCCAGTGGTGCATGCTGGGATAGGGTACATATACTGGTGGGATCTGCCATGTCCTCAGACCAGCCGGGGGTTAGCCATGGAATAGAGTTGGGTGCTGTTCAGCCTGCCCCCCAGGCTAGGTCTCAGGCCTGGGGGTGGGCATGGGCTGGTGTGATCAAAAGGTTTCCCTTAGGCTTCCAACATGGAGGAGGCCTGGCTGGATTTATAGTGGCAGTTATCTGGTTAATTCCAGGTGTGGCATTTCCTGTACCCCCCCTGGGCAGAGTGTGACTCTGTCATATTGTGGGACAGCCAATGAGAGGCACTGTAGTGTATGTACAATACAGCAGCCAATCACTGGGTTTCTCTCAGCCAGTGGTGCATGCTGGGATAGTGAACATATACTGGAGGGATTTGCCATGTGCTCAGACCAGCCGGGAACAGCCATGGAATAGGGCTGGGTGCTGTTCAGCATGCCCCCCTGGCTAGGCCTGAGGCCTGAGGGTGGGCATGGGCTGGTGTGAGGGAAAAGGTTTCCCTGAGGCCTCCAACATGGAGGAGGCCTGTTTTGTTGACAGAGCAAGAGAACCGGGACCAGTGCTGGCTCTTACCCTGGAACTAGGAGGACTTCAGGAGCATGGCCGATGTCTTTCCTGATGTGGATCCGTATTCATCCCACTTATCTGCTACATCAGTTGCTGTCCGCTACCTCCCAAGTGGATCTACACTGATGTGCCAACCAGGTCTGGTGAGTCTGGAGCTCTTGCCAGTTACCCTGGTAGCTTAGAACCCCCCCATACCCTCTCTCCCCAGTGCAGATGTTCAATAAACCGTTACTTTGCATTATACTACTGGAGTGGACATCAGTCTGTGGGCGCCAGAAGATGGGTGGTTAGTGCTAATGGGAGGGCAGCTGAAGAACATACCCTAGACCAGGGGTCCCAAACCTCCGGCCCTCCAGCTATGGAGCAACTACAAATCCCATGAGGCATTGCAAGCCACAGACATGGCTCCCGAAGAGAGATGCATCATGGGATTTGTAGTTTCACCACAGCTGGAGGGCCAGAGGTTTGAGATCCCTGCCCTAGATAGACTAGAGATGAACCGGGCATCCAGCGGCTCCTTCGGGGGCGAGCCATACACGGTCAAACAATAGAGTAACAAGCGGTTTGACAACCAGTATTGACCTATGAGGTGCTTAAACTATATTGCAGATCAGAAGTCCCTAAACTTTCTAAGCAAAGGGCCAGTTCACATCCCCTAAGACTAAATTAAAATAACAAATAAATTAGAAAAAAAAAGCTGAAAATTGGACTTCAAGGGAAGTCACATAGGGCAGGGATGGCCAAACTTCGGCCCTTCAGCTGTGGGGTGGAACTACGAATCCCATGAGGCTTTGCAAGATTCTCACAGCCACGACTCCCGGGGAGAGATGCTTCATGGGATTTGTAGTGTCGCCACAGCTGGGAGGGCCGGAGTTTGGCCGTCCCTGGCATCTGAATGACCAACGTAGGAGGAAAGTCAGCTCTACATGAACATTTCCGATAGGACCTCATCCAAAAACTTACGATTCTTTGTAGTGAACAATGAAGCTCAGCAAGTCTTGAGGTTCCGGCATCCTATATCGTTCCCATTTTAGGAAGATGCGGTCGGATTCTGTTACGTTGGCGACGAACTTCAGAGTGTGAGTGTTGCCTAGGATTAAGAATTTCCAGTTTACAAAGAATGAAAACAGCTAATGAGGATTTGACTCAAAGGCTCCGACGGTTGGGGGGGGGTTGTGGTCCATGTACATGAAACTTTTCCTGCAAGGACAATACTAGTGTAGCGCCCTCTACTATGTCGCTACAAAATTTAGTGTAGATCTGGATGGTAATGGAGGGCCCCCCCCCCTCGGGGCCCTCCATGGGAGGAGGTTTGTGCGATATAGATGCCTGGCCTTCAGCTTGTGGCAGGTGGTGGGGGCCTAGAGGCCTAAGATACTGCAAATACCTGGCTTGGGCCTCAGCATGTGGCAGGGGTCTAGGGGCCCAAGATACTGCAAATAACTGGCTTGGGCCTCAGCATGTGGCAGGTGGTGGGGGCCTAGAGGCTTAAGATACTGCAAATACCTGGCTTGGGCCTCAGCATGTGGCAGGTGGTGGGGGCCTAGAGGCCTAAGATACCGCAAATACCTGGCTGGGGCCTCAGCATGTGGCAGGTGGTGGGGGCCTAGAGGCCTCAGATACAGCAAATACCTGGCTCGGGCCTCAGCACGTGGCAGGTGGTGGGGGCCTAGAGGCCTAAGATACTGCAAATACCTGGCTTGGGCCTCAGCATGTGGCAGGTGGTGGGGGCCTAGAGGCCTAAGATACCGCAAATACCTGGCTTGGGCCTCAGCATGTGGCAGGAGGTGGGGGCCTAGAGGCCGAAGATACTACTGAATATCTGGTATGCCCCTCAGCAAGTGGCAGATGCTGGGGGCCCAGAGACTTCAGATGCTGCTGAAGTCAGGCTGGAGGTGGAATCTGCTTGTCGAGGAGTGTCGCAGGGGAGATGGTGAGAGCTACCGTCTGGAACCCTGTAAGAGATCCCTCACCCTACTCTCAGGTACTTCACTGAAGAGAAGCCAGTTGGTGCACTACAAGTCCAGTGACAGTTCTCTCTCCAGGTCCTGGACTATTCCTGGCTGTTCTCTGTGCTAATTCACATTGATGGTCGCTCTTACAGGACCGTTGTGCTACCAATTCTAGCCGTTGCCAAGGGAGAAGACAGAGTTCTCCAAATTGTTACTCGGGTATCCTGCAATCCCAAACCCTCTGTCTCCTAGTCAACACTGTACAATAAATGCTGAAAAAGACCCCACGACTCGAGCCTGTTCTGTTCCGGGGTGTCGGTGTTGCTGGATCTGAGTAAGGGGCCGGTGGCTAGCAAAACAGGTAGGAGAACCCTAGTTCATATCCAGCGGCTCCTTTGGGGGTGAGCGCTAGACTAGTTACATAGTATTTGAGGTTGAATAAAGACACAGGTCCATCAAGTTGGACTGTCTGTGTGTATACGAGTCCCTGTGTGGTCTAGTTTTTAAAGAGTACCTGTACCCCCCTGTATGTTACGGTCCACTAGTGCTGGTTCTCTTGATTTTGATCAGATCATATTGTGGTAAAAGTACAGCAGGAAGGTGGGACATGACTCACAGGAAGCCCGGTCTCCATTGGTGCGTGGATTGATATCGGCCTTGTTCTGCCTTCCCTTTGTTCCCGTTAGGTCCTCGGTATGATAAATCTCTGACAGGCACAGCTTAGGGTTGAAAGCAAAGTACAGCTTTCCCACAGGGATGGAGAGACTATCGTGGTTGGGATCCCAGAGCTGCTGAAGGTTCTGGTTGTCCAAGACATACAAAGTATAATTCCTGAGGGACAAGAAGAGGAACAATTGTGAAAAGTGAACAAATAGACAGACTGGAAGCAGTTAGGGCTGGAAGGGTCAATCTGCATGGTGTTTGAAAGGTTGGAAAGCATGACAGATGCCTGTACAGAGGAAAAATCAATGGTTTTTAGATTGATTACTTTGTGCCTTACCCATCCACCATGAAGTCCCCTCTGATGAGTTTTAGGTTTTTAAGAAACGAGAGCGAGACCAGAGCAAAGGAGTGCTTGATTTTCAAGAAGCCTGTAATGGTCTCGATGCGACCCAAACTTCTCTGAAGCTCCACAGCCAGGTTATCTGTAATGAAATATACATTTATATTAGGAATATGTTCCTGCACACACCAAGACAATTGTCAGAGTTCCTTGGTCAGGGGCTGTATTTGGGAACAAGCACGGTGGAAATTGGCTAGAGCTTGCAGGAATTAAAAAGGTCTATATGTGACCCAACTGTAAGACATTCATTTAATTGAGGTTGGAGGATGGAGAAAAGGAAGGTATTAAACTGCGAGGTCTCCTCAACTCATACACCCCGAGGTCTCCTCAACTCATACACCATTCCAAAAAAAGATTCCAAAAAAAGCAGAATCCTAAAAGGAAGAACATTTCATCCAGTTGACTAGTGTTGTAAAGTGTGGAGTCAACCTAGGAAGCACTTAAAAGTGCGGCTGAGCTGCAACTTATGGTCAAGGACATCACGTATAAGAAGAGAGGAAGGGAAAATGAAAGGATTGCCAGGAGCATCCTTTGGCCAACTTAATGTCTCCGGTGCCAAGTATCCTTTTGGGGTTTCAGTTTACAAGCAAGCAGAGCTGGCATAGAGAGAACCCAACAAGTGACCCTTTGGGGACATCCATTTAAGAAGGTGGTCCAGTAGAGAACCAGTTGTCATACAAGGGACCCATGACATCCCTAAATGTTCTATCAATTGCATATTCATAAGGTCTCACTTCTGGTCATAAGGTGCTCATTCTTAGTGGAATGTGCTTGACTTCTCAATCAACCTATAGCTGAGAACTGCGCACATAACAGTCATTCCCACCCTTGGTGGTTAGGTTGTAGGTTTCTAGGGTGTTAGGATGAACATTTCCTTCCAAAATCGGTCTGTTTTTGCAGTTTTGGTTTTTATATGAACTTTCCTTGTTCTAAGAGTCACATAACTCACGGAATACTTAACAAAAACAGGATACTCACTTCCTCTGCGGATGTTGAAGATGAGGCTCCCTTCAAGGTATGTGCAGCCCGTCAGTTCCTTGGCAGTCTGGATGGAATCTATGGCTTTGGTCCCCACTTTGCACACCTTCGGACAGAGGCCTTCACACTTGTGGCACACGAAGCTGCAGCAGATGATCCAGAGTTAAAATGATCTAATAGTTTATTTTACAGAAAAGACTTCCACTCCAGCCACCAGTGTCACCCATACATGTCCCAACTTATTCTAGTAGTAGTAGTAAGGGGAAAAGCCGATAGGTCTCATGTATGAAAAAAAGTAGTCACCAATTCCTGCCAGGAGCCAAATAAGATACATTTGGTCCATTAAGTCTATTCCAGTCTTCCCACCTTTACACAGTCTGTAAATACCACTAGGCATGCTCAAGGAAATCTCTAAACACTAGACCATGGGCCAACAGTCTCTTGCAAATACAAATCCCATCATGTACTAGCCTCTGGGGGTCATGCATGTGGCGGTCAGAGTCTTGCAATGCCCCATGGAACTTGTAATTACATGACAGATGGAGGGTCGAAGTTTGGCTACCCCTGCACTAGACCAACAAGGGTATGTATGAGGGGGCCAGGACCAACTAAATTGGCCTCTTGGGACAAAGAAGAGCCCCATGCCTTATGGGTCATGTAAGGTCTACAACAGCTGGAGTGCCAAGGTTGGCTTGATCGTATACGAACCTGCTTTCATTCTTGGTGGACATTCCCGGTGGACACTCCGAGAGACAGTGGTTCTTGTAAATGACAAACTTGGAAGACTCCCGTGGGCTCTCGGAGACTTTCCTCAGGCTGGCGCAGTACTCTGCTGTGATGCAGCGCCAGCCCTCATACTCGTAGGTGTTGGCCGGACACGAAGCCAAGCACTGGTCTTCGAAGAAGAAATTTCGACAAGCCACGCAGGCCCCGCTGTCTCCTGGCTTGCTGCACCCTCCCAAGCATTCACTGTGGCAACATTCTCCGGAGCTGGTGCAGGCAATCTCCGTGCCGCAATTACACACTGAAATGGAAAGAAGACAAGGTATAAAAAGGGCTCAGAAGATACAGGTTGGGATATCAAGCACAATAGACATCAACTATCCAATAAAACTACACAAGGGGGAGACAGCATACAAGTCAAGTGACCCTTTCATCCTGGTAGGTCTCTTGGTAGGTCTCTGGTTTAGCTTGATACCCCACTCGCTAAAAGCTAAACAAGCAACGCTTCATAAAAGGTTTGGGGTCCCAGAAACCTTCAAAAACGAGGTGCACCTGCATCCTTATTAGAACCCTTAACCTGAACTTGCCCTTCTGTGAAAAGAATTATATCTATCTAGGTCAGTGGTTCTCAACCTTTCTAGGGCCGGGACCCCTTGGTAACATTTGACCAAGTTGTGGTGACCCCCAACGGAGCGTTGGACTCCAGAATCAGTAAGGCGCTGGACTTGGGACTAAAAATAGAAGCACACTCGCAAGAATACAAGCCCTCCCCAGCCCCTGCTGCCTGTCTCCATGCAGCCTTCTCAGCCCCGGCACTGCTTAGACGCCCGCCTCCTGCAGAGCTCACATTGTATGGGGGGGCAGGGCCATCTTTAAATATTAATTGGGCCCTGGGCAAGATTTTGCTGATGGGCCCCCACAGCCCTCTATTACCTGCACCCCCCCCTTCCCTACCCAGACCCCTGTATGCGCAATGGACTATGTCTATATTATTTGTAGAATGCATATGTTGAAAATGCAGTGCACCATGCCGCAAGTGTTTGGGGACATGCAATGCAATTCCGATTTTGCCAATATAACCTTGTACTGGTACATTTGTTCTGTACTACTTAATAATATAATAAGACTTTTGTGCCCTCAACCTCATTCTCCGATGTGCCTGCTGGATCTATGTGACAGGCATCCGGGGGGGGGGAGATCACTGCAGGAGGCGGCACATAGACACTGGCAGTTTATAGCCTGTGAAGCGACAGGCTGGAAACTGCTACTGGCTGGTCTCCCCACCAGCAGTGCCGCTTTGCTTGTTCTGTCTGTTGCCAGGGCGAAAGGGATAGCTGCTGTGGGCCCCTGTAAACGATGGGGCACAGGGCAGTTGCCCCTTTTGCCCTGCGGTAAAGACAGCCCTGATGGGGGAGGTGGGGGGCAGGAAGACAGCAGGGGCTGTGAATAGAAAAACCCCGCTCTACACACTCCCCGGCCACTAGATGTTGCTGCAGCGGCCAGGGAGTGTGTATAGCGGCACTTTTATATTCACAGCCGCTGCTGTCCTCCCGCTGACTGACACCGACGCGCTAGGAGGAGGCGGAGGAGCCTCTCACCTAGCGCAGCAGAAGTGGATGCTGCGACCCCCCTCAACAGTGAGTTTTCCGACCCACAGGTTGAGAACCGCTGATCTAGGTAAAGAGGAGAATAAACTATTACGCAATATAACAAGAATAAAAAAAAGGAGAGCCAGATATGGACACATAGCAGACACCCTTTTGAATCGAAAGGTCCGTCATTCAGACAGCCATGGGGAGGTTCTAACCCTTCCTCGCTCTATCAAGAATGTAAATAAAACGGTTTTGGGCCGTAGGTCATCTCTACTACGCCTTTTGCGTAGACCAAAGCCATGCTTTTGTAGGCCAGGTGAGATAAGTGGCCACATTTCTTCAGAGGCTGAAGCGGACCGCAGATTTGTGGCATGTTAAAACTTTACACCATCAGCTGAGAAGTCCTTCGATATGGATGAAATACTGATTGACAAGTAACACTCGGTCACGGTACCGCCTGGCGTGGAGTTCTCCGTCAACGAATTCGATTTAGGTGTTTAAACATTGACACAAGTTGAGCAAACGAAGCGCGTTACATCGGCAAAGGCTGTGCGGTAATCAGCAGATTCCTGGGTTTCCGAGGAAGTCACCCAGACAGCCAGGAGGCACGAAACCTAGAGCCGAAGCCGCAGACTCTACCTGGAAGACGACGCAGGTTGGCAGCAGCACAAGTCTGGCACCAATCTTGGTTCTCTGCCCCGGGGCAGTCATCGTTCTTTAGCCTGTTTATAAGCCAAACATGGCCGATAAACAAAATGTATCTCAACACGCAAGACCTTTGGCTGCCAAAGCGCTGAAGGCATCCAAAACCTCTGCCAAGTCGAGGAAGTTTTGTTGTGGTTTCAAAAACTTTACTTCGTGCCCAATTAGCAATAATTATGTACGGATGGCGCAATGTCACAGACCCGGTTCGGAGACCTTTGTCTTACTTTCTGAAGTGCAAAACAAACAGCGTCCCAGGCGGTTGACTATGCTGGAAGAGTCCCAAACCTTGGAGAGGAGTTTGGACGTGATGGGTAGGATCTACTAAAAAGACCAAAATCGGCTGCAAAGTGAATCTTCTGCTCGGTGATTGAGCTGAAGATAATCGTCCAATAAGGTCTAAGCATATATACAGTTTTTTTTTTCCTTTCCTTGCCCGTGATTGGGTATTCTTTGCCCAAGAGAATTTTTCACCACAATCTTTAAGCCAAGTGAGAATTTACAAAGGGAACCTGCTCTACTCCTTCCGAAAAAAAAAAAAATCAACCCCAATGGGTGCGAGATTGCCCAAACACGCATGCCTATAGCCGATACATGTAACTATCTGATCATGGGTACACGTGGCCACTCTATCCAAAAAATATCCCAAAAATCCGTCATGAATTGTGTAGATTATATGTGCCGATTCGATGAAGTGTGGTTGCATTTGATTATTATTATGATACAGGATTTATAGAGCGCCAACAATTTGCTCGGCGCTTTACCAAAATAGTGGAGAAAGTACAGTGGCAATACAATTTACAGTACAATACAGTTTCAGAACAATAGGGTTGGGAGGGCCCATGCTCGTGAGAGCTTACAATCTGATCCCACAAATGTCCATAAACCCATCGCACGCCCGACTTGATATGTCCCAAAAAGATTGGTGGGGTGCTGTGGTGGCAAATGGATGGCGCCGTCCAGTACAAGGAGAAGTCACCAGCACTCCAAGGTTGTTAATCAATAGGTCTTTATTGGCCCGTGCTTCATCATATCACGCGAAGTTTCGGGGGAACACAAGGTCCCCTTTAGCAGGCAAAACAGTGTGAGGATCAAAAGACTCTGTGTGGCCCCAAAATGTCGCGATTATGGTATGATGAAACATGCGTCCATAAAGTGTAATGTTTAGGATATTGAAGGATCCTTAGCCAGCCGTATCGGCAAATAAAAAAAACTTTATTTTCTTCTAAACAGTACAACTAAAATTGCTTCTTTTCAGCAAATAAGTATAAACAGGGCGAATCTTGCAGCAACATCCCAGATTTGGCTCAGCACCGGTAGCATGTCCCACCTCAGGGTTAGAGCCTCAGCCAGCTCATGGCCAGACATCCCGCAGGTTCACCCCTCCCTGTGTGATGACGGTCCTCCCGACCTTTCCAAACACACCGCACGTCCCACAGGCCCTCTCGGCCTCGGCCACACACCGCACGTGCCACAGGCCCTCTCGGCCTCGGCCACACACCGCACGTGCCACAGGCCCTCTCGGCCTCGGCCACACACCGCACGTGCCACAGGCCCTCTCGGCCTCGGCCACACACCGCACGTGCCACAGGCCCTCTCGGCCTCGGCCACACACCGCACGTGCCACAGGCCCTCTCGGCCTCGGCCACACACCGCACGTGCCACAGGCCCTCTCGGCCTCGGCCACACACCGCACGTGCCACAGGCCCTCTCGGCCTCGGCCACACACCGCACGTGCCACAGGCCCTCTCGGCCTCGGCCACACACCGCACGTGCCACAGGCCCTCTCGGCCTCGGCCACACACCGCACGTGCCACAGGCCCTCTCGGCCTCGGCCACACACCGCACGTGCCACAGGCCCTCTCGGCCTCGGCCACACACCGCACGTGCCACAGGCCCTCTCGGCCTCGGCCACACACCGCACGTGCCACAGGCCCTCTCGGCCTCGGCCACACACCGCACGTGCCACAGGCCCTCTCGGCCTCGGCCACACACCGCACGTGCCACAGGCCCTCTCGGCCTCGGCCACACACCGCACGTGCCACAGGCCCTCTCGGCCTCGGCCACACACCGCACGTGCCACAGGCCCTCTCGGCCTCGGCCACACACCGCACGTGCCACAGGCCCTCTCGGCCTCGGCCACACACCGCACGTGCCACAGGCCCTCTCGGCCTCGGCCACACACCGCACGTGCCACAGGCCCTCTCGGCCTCGGCCACACACCGCACGTGCCACAGGCCCTCTCGGCCTCGGCCACACACCGCACGTGCCACAGGCCCTCTCGGCCTCGGCCACACACCGCACGTGCCACAGGCCCTCTCGGCCTCGGCCACACACCGCACGTGCCACAGGCCCTCTCGGCCTCGGCCACACACCGCACGTGCCACAGGCCCTCTCGGCCTCGGCCACACACCGCACGTGCCACAGGCCCTCTCGGCCTCGGCCACACACCGCACGTGCCACAGGCCCTCTCGGCCTCGGCCACACACCGCACGTGCCACAGGCCCTCTCGGCCTCGGCCACACACCGCACGTGCCACAGGCCCTCTCGGCCTCGGCCACACACCGCACGTGCCACAGGCCCTCTCGGCCTCGGCCACACACCGCACGTGCCACAGGCCCTCTCGGCCTCGGCCACACACCGCACGTGCCACAGGCCCTCTCGGCCTCGGCCACACACCGCACGTGCCACAGGCCCTCTCGGCCTCGGCCACACACCGCACGTGCCACAGGCCCTCTCGGCCTCGGCCACACACCGCACGTGCCACAGGCCCTCTCGGCCTCGGCCACACACCGCACGTGCCACAGGCCCTCTCGGCCTCGGCCACACACCGCACGTGCCACAGGCCCTCTCGGCCTCGGCCACACACCGCACGTGCCACAGGCCCTCTCGGCCTCGGCCACACACCGCACGTGCCACAGGCCCTCTCGGCCTCGGCCACACACCGCACGTGCCACAGGCCCTCTCGGCCTCGGCCACACACCGCACGTGCCACAGGCCCTCTCGG